TTTTTTTTTTTTTTTTTGATTGTTGCTCTGTTTCTCAAAAAATCTGAACTCAACACATTTTCAGCAGTCATGAGGCTTGCGTTGTGTGGCTACAAAAAGACATCCCCTATGCGGCGTGTGAGGCTAACGAAGTGTATCTGAGGTTATCCCCTTGTTTTTTCTCGGATGTTTACATGCGGGATGTTCCGCATCCGCACTACTTGGGTTTCTCCGTTTACACTTGATTTCAAAAATTCCAAATATCTACATTCACGTGGACTTAGTTCGCCGTATACCAATGAAGTTACATACATCTCCCTTTCCAGGCTTGGTGCTATAGAAATTGGTTCCGGGTGTGTTCAGAAACTACAAGGCTCGGATAAACCTTCCCTCCTTAATCCGGCTATACCTGCTGTCGTATTCACGGAATGTCATGATTGACAGAAATTCTTTGCGAAAGCTTTAAAACTCTTGAGTAACTAAAATTGGACATTGAGCTTGACATATGAGCTTTCTTTTAAACTTTTTGTTTCTAGTGGATCCTACATCCACCAAACGCATGTTGGTAAATTTTATTTTGATATACAAAACAACGATTCCGTTCAATCATCCAACCTGCTAGAGTAATTGTTGTTTAGCTTTCTTTGGTTGCCAGAAGTCCACTATCACGGTGTCAATGTCGTCATGTGTCCATATCAAAACTTATAGTATGTAATTTGCTCACATAGCTGGAACCACCCGGGAAAGCTTGAAGAGCTTAGAAAGAGACTGATTTCAAGCATCAAGCTTAATGGCATGCTCGTCTTTTTGATTGTCGTGTTGTAAAACTATTCCATCAATGACACCATGGCAAACAGTCCGCTGGCGCAAGAGTATGAGTCGTGTTTCACAAAATGATGTACAAAGAAGCATATTACTAGCTTTTGAAGTTTTAACCTGTCGGTTTGTATCATGGGGAATCAATGGTCGAAAAATTGTACGCGATCGTACAGGTCTCTGTGATAAATTGTAATTCTTTGAAACCTCGTTGAAAAAGGATAGACATGATGATGAGACTGCATGTGGGTTTCAACTTTACGAGGTCATGTCCAAAGTGCCTGTGGCTTCAACGTGGCTAATGGAAACTTCTCAAGCAGCTTCTAGAGTTTCTTTTTCTCGGCTTTACAAAATATATCTTTTAAATTGAGACTCGCGGGCAAAAATCGATAATCAAGTGCCTGATACTGTGGTCTAGTCATTCTTATCGCAACTCGATATCCCAGACTTTGAGTAATTCGTGGCAAGTAAGTCCCTCATGTGCGGCAGAAACAGTCGTCGCCACATAGGTGGCACATTACATACCTTTTCAAAAAATGAATCACTACTCAGATGGATCAGATATACTCATTTCTACAACTACCTGATCCCATATTGTCAGGTTAGAATTAAAAGATATGTTAGTCACTTTAAAGGCCATCGTGTTGTCTAAAGAACGAAGTTATTGGCAATTACTCAAGAAGATATCAAAACTTCCCATCACTCACATGGAAATAGTACTTTTGATTTTTTTCTGGAAGAAAGCGACTAAGCTGATGAATTGTATGGAAAGAGGTTAGCCTCTTCTTGATGACTACGCAGGTCCGCAAGACAGCTGTGTCTTGCGAATAAATTTCTATAAAGGAAGAGGTATAATTTTTCAAACTATTAAATAGATGAAATTAATATAGAAGCATGAAATCAAGGCCAGTTAAGAACTCTATTCCCCTGAGTGATACTTCTTTGAATTGCTTGAAACATTTGACTAGCATAAAATTCGGCACCCTTTTAAGTGCACAATAATGTTGTTTGGCAAAACTTTTTCGTGTACCACATGTGTTTATGCTGGTGTTCAACCACTTCTTAACAAAGGGTGATGAGGTCTCGAGCCTTGAATCTGCCAATGACATTTTAAGGTATGTCATCTTGTATTACAAACAAAGTTTTCCTACATGCTTTTGAATGTAGATAATGAGGCAAGAGCAAATTCCCTTCGTCTTTTGAGGAGTGTATAATTATAACGAATAATAGTTCTACATTTAAGGATAATTTTCAAAAGCTGGATTGCAATACCACGTCCCACAGCCAATCAAAACACCGCGATTTTGATCCTGTGATAAACGCCTGAAATAGGATGGTGAGCACATTCACCTGGAAGCTTCCAATTCCAGAGGCAGTCTTTCGATTATCCAGATTAGAGTTTTTTCTAGCACTTCCATAAAGACCGCTTCAGTACGGTGCCCATTTTCAAGGCTGAGATGAGCATACTAGATGTGGCATTACAGGTGTGGCGCTAAAAATAACACCTCAACCGAGGTGCGAAGTTTGAGGCGGTCGTGCGGTATCCGTGTATATGGATGGGAATACGTGAATTGATTTCTTGGGGCATCATTTTCTGAAGTCAATAGACATGACTATGCTCGTCTAACTTGCCCACTGAAGAGGACAAATTCCAGTTTTACGGCGCAAACGAAAATTTAGAAAAGGCTAAATGTACTCGCACCGCCTTTGTATGTATGCCAAGAATTTTTGAGAAGTAAACGCCATCACATGTTGCACGTCTCAGCACGCCCATTCACCTGCCTTTTAAAACTGAAGGCGGTGAAGCATACACCCGTCCACAGCGGATTGAATGAAAGATTACGTCTTTATGGATAAAAAATCGTGATCTATATTTGCCCGAAATGAGTTTTTTTTGCCCCCAAGAACTTTAATTGACATGGCCTAAAAGGGGAATAATGGGCCCGTTTTCCCTTGAGAATTTGACCGAATTCAAGTAGAAGAAAATCTTTATGCGGGCAGAGAAGCACTAGCTGTGTTTTTGTGAGGCAATATTAACGCTCGAACACAAGATAAATGACTGTGTGCCTTGTTCTTTTCACTTGAATCTGTTCCAGAAAAATCTTTTGTGTATTATATACATCGAAGTAAGCAGTAAGTTCATTGCCAGTAGCATGCTGGACTGAGAGAAAAATCCAGCCCCACTCCACCTGAGACTCTAAATATAGTGCGGAGATCATTATCGCTGTAGCTTCTGACGAATTTACTCTCGAAACATGTGAATCGTATTCTACTGGACCTTTTTGCGTAGATGTACCTATCTTTTTACCTGTAGCTCAATCTGTTTTGTTGAATTCGTGTAACTTTTTATATCCAAAACAGGAAATCGTGATTTTTTTTTCGTTCTTCTTGCGAAGCGCTTGCGAAGCAAGTTGTCCGTAAAGTTGGTTACTCGTCAAGCAGAATCTAAACATTCTCGTGAATTTAAAAATTCAAACTGAGTATAGATCACCGATTTCGAAAATAAACGACTGCAGCGGATTTCAAACTTCGCCGTTCGTAGAGGCTTGGGCTCGATAAATTTGGCAGCTTTTGCTGTGTCTTTTATTCCAGGCCTCCATGACATATTTTTGCCTTCACGCCTCGCAATATAGGCGCTACTTGGCGAGGCCCAAAAATTGTATTTGCGACTGCATATATGTGTTATCGCGGAAGCGAAAAGCAGATACGCATGATCAGGATGTCCTTTTTATTTTTTGTGAGCAGACGTCAAATATAACTAAACAAGCCAGTTCCAATCGCATAGTGAGGCTCATGATTCTCTATGGACATTTCCTATGTGGCCTCAAGTAACTGAGCCTTGCTTTTTCTGGAAGCTTAATCGAATAAATACCTGTGTAGTTGGTCACACGACATCTTGCATCATGATAATCGTGCGTGGTCAAATCTCACGGAATTGCTATTTCCAAACACATTCATGGAATGTTTCAATGCAGGCAGTAGACAGAAACATAAAACTGAGAGGCCTGGAATAGCTCAGCCAAACGCTTCTACTATCTCTTCTAGAACTTGAATGTTTACGTCACTACCGAAGCATCTTTCGTCACCAGTCTTGAGAAAATGCATGAAAAATGTTACGGCTTCAGCACTACTTTGCTGATACTTCCAAACTTAATAGACGATTCCCAGAATTATATCGTCTTTTGGTCAAAAATTCAACGACGGAATAATATTCTAGAAGCTTGGGTCAATTAGCCTGGGCAGATAGTAATGAAAATGACAGCCAGGTCACAGATATTTCCGGTAACTAAAAAACGATGTATTTTGGAAGTTAAGTAATTCTCGAGTCCGTGCATTCCAGAACTGGCCAATAAGTTGCTACTGTTCTTTTATGGAACGGGAACATCGGTATGGTGTGCAAGTATTTGAAAATGGATCTCGTCGCTCAACTAAAATCAATAGCCGCTCATCGAAATAAGCGGGGCTCTTCTCATTTTCCGTTGATGATGCAATAGCAATATACTGTATGCAACTTTCAAATTCAGGATAGTATCCGAGAGTCCACTCAAATAAAAATGGAAAAACAGGCTTTTTGTTTCTTGTTTTATATTTTTGCTCAGGTCAAAGAAGCATTGGCTTGTCCTAACAATGGTCGTATTTAGCTCGCAAATTTCCAAAGCCTGCCAATATCTTGGTCTACATGCAGTCTGACATGATCAAAACTTCGCTACGTATTTCACAGGTTAAAGCATGTAGAATTTCTGGTTTTGAAAGGTAAGCAACACTTTGAGGTGAAGCTTAGAAGAGCAACATAGTTGGCTATCTATTTTTCTAGGTGGCATGAGGGAAGATTGCAAGGTCCCTTGGGCAGGATCTCGTTTTGGCTCAGATCTTCGCACAACTGTTTAATCTCAAGTCAAACATTTTCATATACCCCTCTCAACCTCTAAGCATTAGCTGAGCAATTCAAAGCTCAAATTTCGGTCATACATTATGCTACCCAAAGAATGGCATTTATGTGCAATGCTCGATGTTGCAATTCATGACAGCTGTATGTCAGATGCGCGGTAGCAAAGCTTACTTCGTATCATTCGCCCATCTTTGGCACAAAATCATGTAGTTAAAGTATTCAGATCTGACTTCAATGCTTCTGTATCTTTGCCCTAACTTGCTTTAAAATTTTCACGCTATTACTGGGATCAGTTCTAGCCTGAAGAAGAGAGGAAGCGGGCGTAATGCCACATAACGTAAATCTGATGGATCGCGAAAATTATTCACCTGCGATAAAAACAGTGTGGATTTTGATAACTTATAAGATCCTAAATATTTAGTGTTTTGTAGAGTCCTAACATTATTCTGAAATCTCTGAATGTGGCATATACTCCTTCTACAGTTTAAAGTTTTATTTTGTAATGTTTTCTTGCACATCATTGCAAACGCTTATTTGATAGGCTATTTTAACAGGGAAGCGAATACTGGCTACGCATATTTTGTCGATAATGATTACTTCTCAGGATCAAAAGTGACTCAGACAAAGAGAATTGTATAAAGAGCTGAATTTTTTTTCAGAATTTTTGCAAACTCAATAAAAGCCTGTGATGCTACGCGTTTTGAACGGAAAATTGTTCGTTCGAAAGATCACGAGAAGTCAAAAAAATAGTGATCGGTGGTCTATCTTCAGTTCTTGGTCAGCTCAGTTACCCGCCTCTGTCAATTTTCACACTGCACATTGTATTCTTAGGTTGAAGAAGAGCAGTGCTGATGAAATCCAGGTTTCAGAACAGTAGTGAATGGCATACACCTAGAAAACACCTTCTAAAAAACACCCCAAAATCAAAAAAATTGCATGCATTGCTAATTTCCTTAGGTGAAGCACGTGCAAACTCAAATTCACTATTTCTTGGAAACTCATATTCTTTGCGACATACATATAACTTCACATTTTGTTAGGGACTTCACGGGACATAGGGGTTATGAATTACTATTTGATCACTAGTACAACAGATGAATATGAATAAGTCGATCCTTATCTCTAATTTAAACTTGATTAACCCTAATATTTTTTCAGAGGGTCGATGGAAAGGGAATCTGGTTAATATTCCAGAACTTGGATATGGTGTTTCGCGGTAACGTAATTGAATGTGGGGACGTCGGCGTTAGTTTTTTCTTCTAACAGTTTCTCTTTTTTACCTTTCTATACTTAATCCAGATTTTACGGGAATGTAACCCTTAGGACTCGAGAAAATATTCAATGAGTTGTCCAAAATGATATCTGACAAAACTCACAGTGATGGAGGTGCATATAGTAATATATTCGCTTACAGGGACATTCGGTCTCAGGGACCTTGCACATTTGGCTGTTCTTTCATGCTTCTGATTTCCGTGATAATGAAGAAAACTGTAAATGCGGTCGGGAATAAACAGCATAATATTCCTCCTTACATAGCTTTCCGATGTGGTGTAATATGTCGCTCTTGACACAGTTTCGAAGGCTTTAACTCATGTTTTGCACATAATAATACACCGAAAGAAAGATTACGATGGAATCCGCGGGTCATATACGTGTTTAAAGTCCTTTGGACCCCTAACGTCCCCGGGAAACATTAATTCTCATATATGCCCTATTTCTGATCACGTGAACAAAGCGAGGAAATCCTGGAAAAAGAAAGATTATTATATAAGGGGTTCGACACGATATCTGACGAAACTCACTATATGAGTGCATATATAAGCAACTATGCGCTTACAGGGTCCATCTATGTTAAGGTTGGGCTTACAATATTTTCTTTCCACAGACTGACAAGACGCGCATGAGTGAAAGATGAGTAAGATACTATAGGCCAGGAATATATCCTTCAGGGGATTTGGTCTGGATAATGATATCTCCAAGGTAGTCAAGAAAATTTTGACTCAAAACAATTACAAAAAAAAGAATATAACGCCACAAATTAGGGGTGATATATAACTACTGCAAAATAGAAGCATGTAATAACTCAATGGTACACATTTTTTAATACACAATTCAAGAATAGACAAAACGAATAGAAAAGCTGGTTTGGGATTTCAGCCGGTTCATGAGAGTTGCGCACTTATTAAAGGGAGACTCATAAATTTGCAATTGGCTTGATTTTGACTGAAAACCAAGCCTGAAATGAATTTTGTAATTTTAAGCGTGAAATAAACATGATTCAAAAGAAAAGATTTTGAAAAGCATATCTTAATTCGAGTATTTACCGAGTTGTTTATGACCTTAGAAACGAAAATCAAATGAGACTTTGTCAATACGTTCTGTAGGCAGGCTCAAAGTAAAGTTCAAATCCCCCAGGCATTATATTATACAAAGCTTTACCGATAGAGGTCTACCGAGTATCAGTTCTCTCACTTCTGCCTCAATTTTGGCCTGAACTGTTAAGTGGATCGGAACAGCTCATATCACAAGGCAATCTTGCCCATTTCACCAGCCACAAGTCATAGCCGAAGCATCATCTCAATTTTTCCGACTAAAAATACATAAACTTTCCAGCAGACTTAACCAGCGTGGTGTAAATCTGTGGAATACTGCGGCAATTTGCTTCGTGAGGTTCAACACTCCTTGTTCAATCATCAATTTTGCCAAAATCAAACAAAGACTACCTTGCATTACTTTCGAATTATGTTCAGCTCGCTTCTGCTTTTCTAGATCAGCTAAAAAGAAGACGACTGATGTGTGTGAAATTGCCAAAATCAAAATCACCGATACAGAAGGATTGATATGTGTCTTCTTGATGACATTTAGAATTGCGAAAGAGGAAAGCCTGCTGCGAGACAAGACGTGATTGTACAAGGTTCACTACAGAAACAACATTTTTAAGTCGGCGCCATCTTTAACACTTTACATACTGAAATCGCGCGGATCAAAAGCATCTAAATCCGCCCAAAGATTTCATCGTTGCGAAGGAGCCACGATGCAGCAGTCACGTGCTCCCTGTAGAAACTATGAAGTCACTGTGCCTCCAGCCCCATGTTTGACGAAGCACAAACAAGCGTCCTACTATGCAGGCTTTTCGCGTGTATGTATGGTGTGCATGATACGTATAAAGAAAACAGCTCCGCCTCGTTACTTAGAAACAAGAATAGTGCATATGGTGGGCCCGCCAACAAGGGCGGATACATAAATCCGCACACTTGCTGCGTCATTCAAAAATAAACAACTGATGTATTTCTGAGGACGCACGTCTTTCCAGCTTGGATAGGGGCATGTGATGCAGCTTGCCACTAAGGAATTATGTAAACAAGCCAGCACAACTTCGATCCCAAGACAACCATCACTATACGCAGATCGACACCGCCTCGTCGACGCACCGCCGATTGAGAAGCCGGATGAAAAGATTGTGTTCGATTTGTCATAAGAAACAACATGGGAACAAGAAGATATATATATATGGAGATTTCGGAAGAAAATTGCACGTTCAAAAACACTAGGCCAAGTAAAATGTCATCATTTAATATTTCCGCCTCTGGGGGGAACACGTAATTGCAGCTAAAATACAATCCTCCCATGTGAATATATAATAGTTTAATCGAATACAATGTGCTATCTTCTCCCACTGCTTGATCAGACAAGCATTCAAATTCAGTTCGGTTGTCTCTTGATCGCAGAATCCATGTCCGTGGCATCCGAAATCAGACCTCTGACAAACCTATAAAATCAGGAAGCTTTTGACCTTTCTTTCCTGCAAAAATTTGAGATATCAACATACGCCATGTGTTGATTTCCTGAACCGCTGTCATACAAAATTTCGTGCTTCTTTCATTATTGCGCTCGGATGCCTTATATGCCTAGGAAGAATCTTGCTAAAGAGTTGGAGATCACATCCTAGCAACAATACGTGAAAACAAAAGCTCAACCCCAAGCTCCACCTACCGCAATTAGAATTTGAAATGTATATTCATCGTCTTTTGATTTGTGAAACGTCCATCGACGACATGCGTCTCTACTCGTCTCTGCATTGCACAAGAGCAACAGCTGCATCTGTGGGATGGACTTTCTCATCCAACATCTCCTACATAACGGTCTAAATAAAAAATCCCTCAAACACTTATGTGCATATTGTGCTCGAATGGCCATCACTATACCCACATAATCCACATCACCCACAATACATATGGAGACAAATAATTGCCGCGAATTTATTTTCCTTGCTACGTATGTACCGGACTCATTGTGCCGTCCATTGGTTCTTTGGAATGGCTAGAACTTTGAGATTTTTGGCTTGGAAATTTGATGGGGCATAACAGGCTACGACCAATGGATATCTTCGCAGCCAGAATGTCCTGGGTTGCTCATTCTCATTTTAGTCAGATATGCATACATTCTAGGTATAAAATTTGGTAAAGCACATCCAGGTAGACTTGCACTCATAATTCTGCCAAAATTACCTCCATTGCCAATACACATGCCATCCAATTTGCTTGAGCAAGACAGGAAAAAAATTTTTGATGACATCGCTTTTTTTTACTGTTGAATGCATTTTTATGCATCGCCTTCGAAAGGATCATAAATCTAGAGGCAAGATCAAGGATGAGGATTTCACAGCCGTTACAAATCCTTTTAATCCTATACGAAAACATTTCTGCCGTGTACTTGATCCAGAAATCAAAAAATGTCGATGGACCAAAGAATAGAAGTACATATCTTCATGGATGTTCTTACGTAGACTATAAGTGCCAAGCCGATGCCAAAAGCCATTTTGCCATGAAAAGTTTACATTGTAGCAAACATAGCTCGTAATTAAATTGGAGCCTGCTTATTCAACTTATTTCAGATCACTACTGCATGCTTTACCAAAGTAAATTCCGCCAACTTTCAACATGACCACTCACCAAAACAAAAAATTGAATTCCTAATTTACACGGGTTCAAATATTTTAAGCTCGAAACAAGTAGTTTTGGAAAATATGCCGAGTATTACTTCTCAAGGCAAGACATAAATTTTTACCAGCAATCAACGGGTCTTGTGATATCATTAATACATGAAAATCGAACCCACACTTACCCATTGTCTCCAACTACCAAGTCAAACCAAGATTAACTCAGTTCTCGCTGTAACAATACGACAGAGATATAATACATAACAAAATTTGATTTGACGAAAGTAATCTATAAAGTAGCTAGGATGAGCTTGACGAAAGGGGTGTGTAAAATAGGATATTATACCTCAAAACAAGAGGGCGAAGACAGGAAAGGCGATCATGAACAGGAGAGCGGTCTTCTTTGAAGCACCGCCTTCCAAAATGGTGATCTGAGATGGCTGGGGAACAGCTGTGGTACTGGTCGAAGATGATACCACGGCAATGCTGGTTGTCGATGCAGCAGAGAGAACAGGAACCGTAGACGTCAATGCTTGAGCCTCCTCGGCATTGCTGGTCACACAAACGCCCCTGTAGCAGTACACAGATTCAGTTGATGATTCGATCTCAGCAGACAAGGATGAAGTTTCAAAAGACTTGGTCTCGTAGACGGTGGCAGTTGAAACAGCGACCTCAGTCTCACCAGACTCAGTTCCGTAGACGGTGTAGGTGGAAACAGCAACCTCAGTCTCGCCTGGCTTGGTCTCGTAGATAGTCTGGGTGAAAACTGGGACCTTATTCTTACCCGACTCGGTCTCGACAACAGAAGTCGATGGAGCAGCAGAGGACTCGGTCTCGACAGCAGAAGTCGATGGAGCAGCAGAGGATTCAGCCACAACGACAGAAGTCGACGGAGCAGCAGAGGATTCAGCCACAACGACAGAAGTCGATGGAGCAGCAGAGGACTCAGCCACAACGACAGAAGTCGATGGAGCAGCAGAGTTGACCGAAGAAGCACCGGTCAAGGTAGTCGTGTAGTCGATTGAGGAACGAACGTCAGTCTCTAGGAGAGATGACAGCGTGTGAACAGTGTAAGACATGTTCCAACCTCCGGAACTGTAGGGCATGATAGAGGAGCTAGAATGCATGGCGGATGAAGACTTGACAGCTGGAACAGTGCTTGAGCTTTCAATCACAACCGACGAGGTCGCAACAGAAGAAGACTCGACAGCTGGAACGGTGCTTGAGCTTTCAATCACAACCGACGAAGGCGCAACAGAAGAAGACTCGACAGCTGGAATAGTGCTTGAGCTTTCAATCACAACCGACGAGGTCGCAA